GGCAACCCCCCCCCTTTTTAAAAAAGCAATTCCCCCCCCGCCTCCCGCCGCCAGCCAGCCAGCCTGCCAGGGCTTCTGTTCTGGGCAGCGGCGGCAGCAGCTGCTGCGGGTCCTCAGCTGCTTCTTTGCATTTGTAAATCCTCCTCATTTTTTCCCCTCTTAACTCCCCCCTCCGTCCCAGTCCCAACTCGCTGGCTGCTTAAAGGGCTACAAGAAGGAAGATGTTTGTGGCCGGGGGTGTTTGCCCTCGGGGACGCGCTGTAGCTTTGCAAAAACGACCAATTTTGAGTAACCAGGAAAAAAGAAGCGGCTGTGTATGAAAAATATATATATATATTGCACGTATCTGTACGCAGTAATGCTGCACTCTCAAGCTTTCGGAAAGAAAGGGGCTGTGTTTTCAGACGCGAAAGAGCAGGACGGTGTGGAGAAAGGCAAGGAAGCCGCCGCAAAACGCAAGAGGCAGAGAAGCAAACTTAATCCACGGAGCCCGTGCTGGATTGCGGCTTGCGCTTTCACGTACTTTTCTCGACCAACTGGCTGCGGTTTCGCTGCCGCTTCAGCAGCTGTTGAAACTCGCGATCCCTGCAGCGTTTCTGTTCGAGACCCGCCTCGTCATTGGGCTGCTCGACAACACGGGAGTCCTCTCCGCGCTTTTACACGAGAGCCCTTTGATAGACACGTGTAAAGTCCCGCGGACTGATTTTTACTGAGCCCTCCCAGACGAGTGCGCAGAGCGAAAGTGCAAGTGCGCGGAATAACGCCATCGCCCATCGTTATTTATTTACTATGGTCCCTAATACGGATCTTGAAAAATCAGATGTGTTGCTCAGCACGGCGACAGACCTTCACTCAGGGGTAAATCTAATTGAAATCAGTGAGATGAAGGCTGCAACCCTATATCCTAAGAATAATCCTCAGTGAGAACACTGCGCTGCAATGTTGTACCTGTGATTACAGAAGAGAAAGCCATCCAATTTGCAGTACTGTAATTTGCACACATAATTCGGCTGCAAGGATGGGATTTCATACATGATGGCGCAACTCGATATGGCGCGTGTTAAATACAAGGTACAATGATGCTACCTTGGTAAAGAATTGCTTGGAACTAAGGAACGATTCTGAGCGCAATGCCTGATCGCTTTAAGAGTTGGGTAACTTGAGTGGACGTGCATAGAATGGATTACAATTGAGCACATCAACCTTTCAGATTAATAATCCCTATATTTTGTTTATTCTGGGTCATTTTATAAAACAGCGTCCTTTAAAAAAATTGCAAAACTTGTTTCTCCAAATCCTAAATTAGCAATTACCTTAATACGTGATTTCCACGGGTATTTCAAGCAAAATTACTGTATATCTTCCCATTGTCTACAGGAGTTTAGCAGTTGCTCCTGAAGTGAACGTAAATACCCAATCCTATCTACACGGCCAAGGACTACATCCATTTTCCTGGGAAGAAATGAGCCCCCTGAATTCAAATTTCGAAATATTTGACGGGACTTTTCCCTAAAAATGCTGAGGTTCACTTGTACCTTTATTGGCTCGCGCATTGGGTCTGGACGCTTGGCTGTATGCTTGTGTACATTTTAGAGTTTGAATTAAGATTTACGTATTCCTAAACCCGCATCTTTACAATCCCGCAGCAAATGTGCCATTAGCAGTGAACTTCGCAGGAATCTTAGTGGGCAATCCTGGGCAACTCTGCTTCCAAAGAGATTCAGAATGGCTTGAGATAACTTGCATCCCAAAGGGCTTCCTTTTTGCACCACATAGGATGTTTTAGTATGTTATAACCCAGGCTTTTATAAACCCAAAGGCCCTGCAGCGGACAAACCGAAAGGATTCTGAACTTCCCCGCCCGCAACAACTTTTACACGTGCCCAATTTGGTCCGTTTGCACGGGAGGGTGGAGCCAATGGCGAACTAGCGCTACTATTGGCCCCTTTCAAAATGCTCGTTTGCAAATGTCTTCGTTGGTCTCCCTTATGGGAAAGGAAACCAAGGGCGCCTCTGCCGGAAAGACCCGCGCACGCGATTTTGCAAGCCGGACCACGTGGTTGGCATTCGGCCATGTGACTGTCATCGAGTAGGGTTAACTGACCAGTGAGTCGTGGGTTGGAGAATGATTTGCGGGGGATGGTTGTTGGCGTGTTTGCATAGTTATTTATTTATTATTTCCTTTATATAGTGGCCCATCTCAAATTCATCACTCTGACAATATTAAGAGAATATTTTAATATTGCAACTAACGATATTAAAAGGAATCAGAAAGAATAGAAAAGCCACATGAAAACAGCACCAAGGTAAAAGCAAACTCGTCAGTCGCGAACTAGCATAGCCAAGGTACGGCTCAGCCACACCTCCTGGTCCCCAGGCCCGGTGACATCTATTTAAACATGTATTCCGCCGCCCCCCCCCCGCTCTTTCCTGTATGAATGTTGTAGGAAATGCATGTGTTTATTTTACGTTACCTTTAGCATTGCTTATATTATTTGCATTTCAATTGTTCTATTGGCTCCACCCTCCCGTGCTAACGGGCCGAATTGAAACAGCAATAGAGTAGTAGTATACAAATACATCAAATAATAATTACTAAACAGGTTTGGGTGGGTGCTGAGAATGTCCTCCTGCCCTGTGTATGTAAACATTCTGATGCTGTAACCTGCCAGGTCTCTTAAATGATCAGAACAAAGTTGGAGCTACAAGATAGGAATTACATCCGTTCTCCCTCTTATCGCCTTTTCTATATTTGATCATCTGGATGTGGATGCTCTTTCTTTTTACATAGAATAAAAATAAAAAGAAATTAAACTAAAAACCTGCCATGTGAAGCTGTTCTTTTCTTTTCTTTTCTTTTTCTTTTTTGGTGTCTTTGAGTCAGTGTTAACTCCTGGCAACTGCCTGGACAAACCCCTGCAGTTTTCTTGGCAAGGTTTTTCAGAAGTGGTTTGCCATTGTTGTCTCTTTCCTAGGGCTGGGAGTGAGTGACTGGCCCAAGGTCACCCAGCCCGCTTCACGGTCTCTTGGTTTCCATCCTGACACTTTAACCACTACAACAAACTGGTTCTTTTTTCTATTATTACATCTCCATATTAGGGAAAAGCTGCATTTGTTGAATTTCTGCCTTCTCTGCAACTTTTAAAGCTACAGTTGCCTTACCAGGAATGAAAAGATGAGAGCTTCCTTTCAAATGCAGCAAACTTGTTTTCATCCAGCAGAACTTCCAAGATGGGAACTGTGGAGTCATCGATCCAGCAGATCAGGAGGGCACCAAAATGGGAAGGCTGTTTTACAGCAGTCCTGCACCATATGTGTTTGAGGTAGAGGATTATGCTTGGCTTTACAGTTGTGTTTGTGTATATGTGGGGTGGCACACTTCAACAGTTGTCAGGGTCAGTACAAAAACTAAATCCGAGAAGACAGATATTATATGTTTATATTTCCTGCATGCTCCAAAGCAACTTTGGGGCTTCAAATATGAAGTACTGCACCATCCAATTTAACAATGCAATGCTGACATCTCTCTTGCAATTTCTCAAATATTTGCTTCCCCTACAAAAAAAAAAAAAAGGCTTGTATTTTTCTACCTTGTTTTCAGGATATTCTACATTTTCTCAAATGTATCTTAATAGTATTGGGATGGTGGTAAATAGCTCTCCACGCTTCCTCATGTGAAAAAAATCCAATGAGATCGCTTGTTAAGGGCTCCCTTGGCTTATAATAAATGTGCTGTAAGGGAGGCTGTAATCTGCTAGAGAGAGAATTAGATAGCCATACATAGTTTTGTCTACCCGGTAACTAAATAAAGGCAAAACCACCACCACGCTTTTGAAAGAAACGTTGAATAAATTCATCACATTGAACAAGAACTTTAGGAGAAAAATCAGGACACTTTTTCTGTACACCTAGTAGATAACTCACCTGCACTGGAATGTCAACAGGCACATCTATGCAGATGGTGTGGGGTTCCAGCAGTAGGGACAGAAGTCACATGTGATTAGTTTTGCACGAAGAACGGGTTTGAGTGCAAAGTATATGCTATACCACTGAACTATGTCCCCAGTTTAAACGAGACCCTGGTCACTTAAGTATCTGTGTATTAAGTTGCCATGTTCCAGTACCATTCTTAATCCATATATTAACTGCCTACTGTATATATAGAATTTGCTCACCAGGTTTCTCTCTAGGGCAAAAATGTAAGCATAAGGCTGTGAATAGGTTAAAAATATTTTAGGTTGGTTTTGAACTTGGGACATTATAGTATTTGTGGTTTCATTGCAGGTTTTATTTTTATTCAACATTTCTAGGCTCGTATAGTATTATCTTTTATTAGTAGCTGCAGCTTTCTGGTATCTTAAGCACCAGAAGATGTCAGAAATTTGTCTGGGGACTTAAGCTATGCTATGATCTTTATATTATAGCTGCAGTTATATAGAGATTGAAACTAATTGTCTGTAATAGGTTGAGTGAATTCATACATTGCACTAAGCTATAATGAGTTTTGTTTGATCCTGGTTTAGCTTCTTGTGTGAATCCAACCATCCCTATAGTTTATGGCTTAGCAAAATGTGTGAATCTAGCCCATTCTATCTTATTCAACATTCTGTAGTTAATAAAACCAAGATTTTGTAGCGGAATGCA